ATAAGAGAAAACCTAAATTACCCTGGGTTTGGTGATGACCTTTTACTACACCTTTTTTCTACACAGTTCTACATTATTGTCCTCAAACTTCAGTCTGTATGTGGCTTATAAATTTATCTTTCTTTGGAGCAGGTACTAATATATATATGTTATATATTATATACAAGTAGGCATTTTTTTCTAGTTTGCCTCTGCACAAATGTACTTTTCAGATTTTTGACTAAGTGGTTGATTCATGTATTTTAGAAAACCCTGATACAGGCAGTGCCTCTGGCTCAGTGGGTAGGGCGCGGGCCCCATATATGGAGGGTGGCAGGTTCAAACCCAACCCTGGCCAAATATAACACCAAAAGTGTGATCCATGAAAGAAAGAATCGATAAGCTTGACTTCACTAAAATTAAAAATCTTTACTCTGAAAGACACTGTTAAGAGAATGAAGAGACAAGACTGGGAGAAAGTATTTTCGAAAGACATAATTGATAAAGCAGTGTTTCTCAACCTTTTTGGCACCAGGGATCAGTTACATGGAAGACAACTTTTTCATGGATTGGGGACAGGGGCATAAGGAACGGGCCACCTAGATCTCTCAGGTTTGCCCTCCTATGAAAATCTAATACCACTGCTGACGTGACAGGAGGCGGAGCTCTGGCAGTGATGCAGGCGATGACGGGAAGCAGCTGTCGATACAGATGAAGCTCTGCTGGCTTGCTGGCCTGCCACATGTGTCTTGCTGTGCAGCCCAGCTCCTAACAGGCTACAGACTAGTATCAGTGCACAGCCTAGGGGTTGGAGCCTGCAGTGATAAAGGACTGCTATCTGAAAAATACAAAGAACTCTGAAAACTCAACAGTAAGGAGCCAACTCAATTACAAAGTAGGCCAAAGGCCCTGAGGCAGGCACACAGATGGCAAGTAGTCATAAGAGAAGATGCTCCACATCACGTGTCATTAGGGAAGTGATGAAACAACAAGATACGTTAAATATCTCTTAGAATGGCCAAAATGAAGAATGCTGATAATATCAGAAGCTGGTTAGGATGTGCATGAACAGGAACAATCATTCATTGCTGGTGGGAATGCACAATGGTACAGCCACTTTGGAAAACAGTTTGATGTTTTCTTACAATAATAAATACACTCTTACCATATAATCTAGCAATCACACTCTGTGGTATCTACCCAAAGGAGCTGAAAACTTAGGTCCACAGAAATCCCTGCACATTGATGTCTATAAAGGCTTTATTTATAATTGCCAAAATTTGGATGCAAACAAGATGTGCTTCAGTAGGTGAATGGAACAATTAACAGTGGTACATCCAGATAATGGAATATTATTCAGCACTAAAATGAAATGAGCCATGAAAAAAGACATGGAGGAAACTTAAATGCACATTACTAACTAAAAAGCCGATCTGAAAAGGTTGCATATTGCAAGATCCCAACTATGCGACATTCTGGAAAAGGCAAAATTATGGAGACTGAAAAGATCGGTGGTTGTCAGAGGCTAGGAGAGGAGAGGTGAGCAGGCGAAGCACAGGGTTTTTAGAGCCGTGAAACTACTAACAGGCACTGTAATGATGGATGTGTGCCACTGTGTGTTTGTCCAGCCCACAGAATGTGTGACCCGAGAGTGAACCCCAACGTGGACTATGGATTTGGGGGATGATGTGTTGACGTAGGTTCACTGACTGTTAACAAATGGACCACTGTGGTGAGCCATGTCAGTAAGGGGGATCTATGCATGTCTGGGGTGAGGGGATATAGAAAATTTCTGTTACTAATGCTTAGTTTTGCTGTGGGCCTACAATTACTCTAAAAAATAAAGTTTATTTTTAAAAAATCAGAATAGTTTGTTTTTAACTGGAATATAGTTTTACTTCCATGAGAATTCATGGTCATAAGTGAACCCAAGAAAGCCTATATGGGTTTTTGTTTGTTTCTTTTGCTTAGAATAAAGGCAGCATACTAAATAAAGAGCAAATGAAGGATTTTTTCTACACAGTTCTACATTATTGTCCTCAAACTTCAGTCTGTATGTGGCTTATAAATTTATCTTTCTTTGGAGCAGGTACTAATATATATATATATGTTATATATAATATACAATTAGGCATTTTCTTTTCTACTTTGCCTCTGCACAAACGTACTTTTCAGATTTTTGACTGAGTGGTTGATTCATGTATTTTAGAAAACCCTGATACAGGCAGCGCCTCTGGCTCAGTGGGTAGGGCGCGGGCCCCATATATGGAGGGTGGCAGGTTCAAACCCAACCCTGGCCAAACTGCAACAAAAAATGGCCAGGCGTTGTGGTGGGTGCCTGTAGTCCCAGCTACCAGGGAGGCAAGAGAATCGCCTAAGCCCAAGAGCTGGAGGTTGCTGAGCCTGAGCTTTGATGCCACAGCACTCTACCAAGGGCAACAAAGTAAGACTCTGTCTCTAAAAAAAAAAAATAAATAAAAATAAACCCGACATAGAATTGGAGGATATGGATTGTGCAGTTTTGTATTTAACAGAGATACTTAGAATGACTTTATTCTCGGATGGCTTTACAGTCATTCAGCTGCTATTAAAGTGAAGTCATCCATGTGCTCAGATTCATGCCACACTGGCTTATACAGGACATGAAGGCAGAAATTAATTCTCAGCTCAGCACCCAGAGCTCAGTGGTTAGGGTGCCAGCCACATACGCCGGGGCTGGTGGGTTCCAACCTGGCCCGGGCCTGCTGAACAAGGATGACAACAACAACAACAACAAAAATAGTGAGTGTTGTGGTGGGCACTTGTAGTCCCAGCTACTTGGGAGGATGAGGCAGAATTGCTTGGGCCCAGGAGCTTGAGGTTGCTGTGAGCTCTGATGCCACGGCACTCCACCAATGGTGACATAGTGAGACTCTGTCTCAAAAAAAAAAAAAAGAAAGAAATTAATTTTCCTTGTTCTTCTGTTTGCATAATCTATCTTAAGATCAGCTGTTTTAAAGTAGAACTATTATATAATGTGATTTAAGTCTTACATTGAAAACTACATTATATCTGAGTTGAAACCTTACATTTGAAGTACTGTCTTTTAAAATATATTTTTTAAAAAGGTAAAAAATGTGCCCTTGTAATTTATGGTTATATAAATGGCCTGTGTTCAGATTCTGAACAAAGGTATTTTAAGGAAAGTAATGCTATAGGTGACTTTTGTGGCCCGACTGTATTTTCTGATCCTATCATGTTGCCTATCCTCTGCTATAAAGCACTGTGCTCAGGCTGTACTTGCTGTGAGATATAATTTTGGTGATATAATTTATGCGACAGGCTCTTTCTGTGGCTTTAGATATTTCATAACAGAACATATTTTAAGAATATAATAGTACCCCTGCATGGTTGGTTTTGCTTTCCACAGTGATAGTTTCCTTAAATGAACTGTGTTCTGAAAATATTACAGTATTTTGAGAGACAGACCACATTCACATAACTTTTATCTAGTATGTGGCTATAATTGTTCTTTTATTATTAGCTATTGTTAATTTCTTACTGTGCCTAATTTATAGATTGACCATTACAGCTATGTATCTTTTAAAAAATCATAGTATGTGTATATATATACAGATATATATGGTTCAGTACTATCTGCAGCTTCAGGCATCACCTGGGGGTCTTGGGAGTAAGGAGGGACTGCCGTATTATTGGCATCATCATTGATTATTATAAATTAGAATCTCTGTGACATCTAACCAAAAACAACCAGGAGAGTTGTTTGGACTTGAATGTGTTTATAAAGGATTTCAATATTTTATTTTAGTAACTCAGTATCTCTAATTTTGATATTTTCCCATAAAGGAAGAGTTAAGCTATAACCTGGCAAAAGTAATTGCTATTTCATAAAGAAAAGTAACTTACTATGCAATTTTGATGTATTTTTTAAATGGTATCAAGTTTAGCATTCAGGAAAACAGACCTCACAGTGCTTACTCCTCATTCATTGAACAAATATTTTTTCAGTGCTTTCTAGATGCAGGCCCCCCACTTTCAGCAGTTCAGCAGTAACAAAACACCTGCTTCCTGGGGGCTTTTATTCTGGCTATTGTGTACTAGAGAGTAGAAATGGAAAATTTACTGTTAGAATTCTATACTAGTGTACTCCTCTGCATCTTGCTATTTTCAAAGAAATAGTTCCATTCAAGCTGTCCTGTCCAGTTTGAGAGCCAGTAGCCACCAGTGGCTACTGAACACTTGAAATGTGGCTTATTCAAACTGACATGTGCTGTAAATATGAAATACACCCTGGATTTCAAGGAATTCGTACCAAAAGCATGTAACATACCTAATTAATAATTTTTACTGATTAATGTTCAAATTAAAACATTTTTGATATATTGGAATAAACTATTAATACAACTAATGTCTATGATTTCTTTTTACTAATTGTACCTTTTAGAAATTTATGGTTTGTATTTTTAGTTTGCATTATATTTTGATTGGATAGCTCCGCCCTAAAGATTAGCTTATTTTACATAAAATTAAGATTTAATTCCATTAGATCAAATTGTAATTAGAAATATTACTTGATCTTGCCGGGCACAGTGGCTCATGCCTGTAATCCCAGCACTTGGGAGGCCAAGGCAGGTGGATTGCCTGAGCTCAC